CACTCATGGACATAGGCATGCACAGGCTCAGCTGCATGCAGACATGGGCAGACACCACCGGACAAGGGCACCCTTGCACCCCTCCAGCTGCTTTCCCCATAGGAAGCTCCCCAGAGTGCGCGCAGCTCCCCTGGCACCCATAACCCCCTCTTACCTTGGATGGTGCCAGAGGGCAGGCGGCCCCCGCCATAGCCATCGGCCAGCTTGGCCCACTGATAGGCGAGGGGGCTGGTCCCTCCTCGGCTGTAGCAGCGCAGCAGGATGCTGCTGCCCTCCGTCAGCTCCCCCTCAGTCCAGCACTGCGGGGTGGCTGGCTTCTCTGCAGGGTGAGAAACACCGTTAGCACAGCCCTGGCGAGCAGGTGCCAGGGTCACGTGGGGGACAGTGCAGCAGTGGCTGGGTGCTGCACCACGGCCCCTGCTCTGGGTATACCTGCTGGGGCTCGGGGACAGGGATAGGGGCTCACCTTGCACGGTGACGATGACTTCGTGCACGGCTACAGTGTTTTTCTTCACCCGGCACTGGTAGGTGCCTGTGTCAGAGACCTGCAGGTCGGCCAGGCGGATGGAGGCGTCGTACTGGCTGGGGTCGTTCTGCACGAAGGCCACCCTGTTCTGCAGCCCTGAGCCACTGCCGTAGTTCACATCAGCCCGGAGCGTCTGCCTTAGTTCACATGATGGTCATGGTAGGACAGGAACTGGTGTGGGAGCAAGTGGTGAGGCCAGGCATGGCCAGCCCAGGCTGATGGCGACCTGGGGTTGCTAGCCAGGAAGGGAAATGCCCTAGCCATTTCCACAAGAACGTCATCCTGCCTGTCCCTGCCAGACCCTGCTCAGTCCTTTCTGCTCTGCCAGGTCCTTCTCAGCTCTTCCAGACCCTGCCCAGCCCTGCCAGGTCCTTCTCAGCTCTTCCAGACCCTTCCCAGCCCTGCCAGGTCCTTCTCAGCTCTTCCAGACCCTGCCCAGCCCTGCCTGGCCCTGTCTGCCTTGCCAGGCTCTGTCTGGGCCTTTCTGGCCCTGTCTGTGGCTGTGGGATGCAGCTGGGAGAGGGTCCTTGTGTGGGTGCCGCTGCCCGTGGCTCTGCAGGCGCTGACACAGGGAGGCTCCTGGGGCTGCGCGTGGGGCTCCTCCGAGCTGGGCAAAGGGGAAACTGAGGCACAAGGGGTGAGCCGAGCCCAGGAGCTGCAGCGGGCACTCAGCACACTCACCACGTTCTCTGGGCCTGTCCGCTCAGGCGTTATCTGGATCCACTCGATGCCCAGGTCCTGGGGACCGTTGTCTTCAGGCTCAAGGACATAGGGGCAGCCCAGCTTCACGGAGTCACCCTTAGCCAGATACAGCACTTCCCGGCCCTTGGTGTTGATCCTCACAGCCAGCAGAAGAGCTGGGAAGAGAAAGGAACTGGTATTGCTGGCTGGGGAGCGCGTGGGTGCCCACCCAGAGCACAGCCTGCCCCAGAGCCCTGGCACTCCGACCCCGTGTCCCAGCAGCACCCAACTCGCTGGCGGCAGGGACAGGGCACAGCCCAGCAGGTCTCCATCTGCTGGGGCCGGGCATCCCACCAGGGCCAGGCATCCATGAGGGCTGGGCATGCACCAGGGCTGTGTCCCATCGGGACCGGGCATCCAGTGGGGCTGAGCACCTGCTGGGGCCGGTTGAGCTGTTGGCGCTGCACGGAGGCAGAGGAAGGTGACAGTTTCAACACCAGTCGCCTGGCTTTGGACGTGGCACGTCCAAAGGGTGGGTGTCTGGGCCTCCCTGAGCACAGTCGGCTCTGTCTGCTGGTGCTCTGCTGACCGCAGGGTATTTCCATCTCCATCCTGCCAACCCCCAGCACTGTGGCCTGGCCTGGCACCCCAGGGTGCTCTAGGGCCAGGCAGGGACACCTCGATCCTCAGGAGCATCGCTGAAGGAGCGGGGCTGAGCGCTGGGTGCTTGACATCCCTTGGTGGCACCCCAGTGAGGTGCAGGAGCGCGGTGGTGCCTACCTGGCATGAGACCCAGGAGCAGGAGCAGACCAGTGCCGTGCCCTGCCATGATGCTGCAGCCGTGCCGGCAGACGTGGGCAGTGAGGACGAGTGGGAGCGGAGGAGGCTCCGAGGCGACAGGGAAGCCCGGCGGTGCGGGGCTGCTTTTACATGCTGGGCTGGGGTGCTCCTCCCTGTGGGGCGGATGCCTTTGGGATGACTGAGTGGCTCCAAGCTGTGACTGAGCGATGCCGCCCTGCTCCACTCCCTACCTGCTAATTAAGCACTGCCATGCTATGGGCTCCCTTCCAGCTGGAGCTGGGCTGGGGGTAGCATAGACAGGACACCCGATGAGCCTGGGGGCACCTCTCCGGAGGAGTAGAGCAGGGAATGGGGGGCTATGGCCTCATGGTACTTGGCTGCTGGCAGCCTCAGTGCAGGCATCAGCAGGGATGAGCGTGGCTGGTGGGAAAAGGCCACCTGGGACCCACTCAGAGCAGCCCAAGCTCAGCCTTGCACCCCAGCCACATGGAGAAGGCGACTTGGCTCAACGTGGGTCCCAGAAGGATTTTCGTGTCCCAGCAGGACACAGGGCAAACCACAGCTTAAAGGTGTGGTTTGACCATGGGTTTAAGCTGCCCAAAGTTCCCTCCTCCAGTCCTGCCCATTCAGTGAGTGGGCACAGAGATGCTGGGGTCATGCAGGGGATTGGGGCACCCAGTGAGCCCTCGCGGCACCATTGGCCCTGCCAAAATGCAGCACCTGGCCCAGTTGATGCCCCACGTCAAGGCTCACTGCACAGGGATGTGATGGCACAGCAGCTGCGGACACAGCAGACCCCCAACTCGTGCTCAGCAGATAGGAGTGGATGTGCAGCTCCAAATGCAGTGGGAGAGCTGTGAAGAGCCAGGGGATGAGGAACAGAGAGGCTGAAACCTGGCCCTGATCTGAGGACAGGAGTTGAGGATAGGGATGCTCTGCAGCAGGGCTGGAGGATTTTGGGACAGGAATGCTATGCAGTGGAGGACAGAGAAGTTGGGGACAGGAAAGTTCTGCAGTGGGAATGGAGGATTTTTGGGATGGGAATGCTCTGCAGTGGGCACAGAGAAGTCGGGGACAGAGATGCTCTGCAGTGGGGCTGGAGGTGGCCAGGACAGGGATGCTCTCGAGCAGGGATGCTCTACCCCATGGGAAGGCCCTGGCCACGGATGCTTCTCAGCCTCTGCGTCCTCAGCCCCTGGATCAGGCTGGGCCTTGAGAGCCCTGTATGCAGGGATGCTCTGGTCCTGGGGGGCCAGGGGTCAGTCCCAAAGTCTGGCTCATCCCATGCACTGGCTTGCGGCACAGCACAGACCGCGACGGTACTTTCCAGACTGTGACTGCCAAAACCAGCTCGGCAGTACCGCCTAGCTGGTCCCAAACACTCCCTGGGGCCACATACTGCTCCATTTACTGGCCCCAAGCTGAGCTCACTGCTGTCAGTTAACCCTTGCTGGCACCGTGCTGGGAACTGGGGCTGAGCCAAGCACGTGCTTCGCAGCATCCGCGATTTCACGGCCCCACTGTGCAGCCTGGCCCTGGGGCAGCACCCAAGCAGTGAGGGCTACTTTGTTCCCCATCTGACAGGGCCATTCCTGGGTGGTGCAGTGCTGTTTCCAATGTGACAGGGCCACGGCTCGCTACAGCTCAGGGCTCCTCGCCGGTGCGGCACCCTGGCCACGCTGGATCCCCAGGCTGGTGACTCCTGCATTCCGGTGCCCTGCTCGCGCAGGAAGGGTGGGGAAGCCGCTCCACCCTGGTGAGCCTCCCGCCAGTCAGAGCACCCTCGGCAAGGCAGAAGCAGTGGCTTTGAAACCCTCCAGGCTGAGCCTGGCCTAGAACAAGGCTGGGACTTCCTGACCGAAGCAGTGACCGAAAGTGACACAGCTGGTGCATGGCCACCAGGCTCTGGGGACCTGGACAGGGACAGCGATGAAGATAAGGGCAGGCGAGCTTGGCACTGAGCACCAAAGACACTTTCTGGCCTGGCCATTGGTGCCAAAGACCCAAGGGAACCTAGAGAGTTTGGTGGCTGCTTGGGAATACTTTAAGTTGGGTTCCTGTACTACCTGTACTACATTTTAGGTGGTGGAGATATGTCCTGGATGCCCTGCAGCACCAGTGATGCACACTCAGTGCGAGCCCCTTATCGAGATGAACCTCAGCCCAGCAGTGCCTGGCTCCATCACTACTTGGGGACACACAGCAGCTGAAGAAAAGAGACAGGGAGGAGATAACAAGAGGCTATGACATTTCCTCATCCATTATTTATCCATCCTGAAGCACTGTCGGGGCTCAAGCAGAGTCCTCCAAGCCATCCCCCTGCCCTGGGCAGTCTCACCTTTGCTAGCTCTCCTTATTTTTCAGCTGCTCTGGCAACTAATCAGAGCCACTCCTATAGATCCCAGCCCTTGGCCCTGCCTTGCTTCAGTAGTTGCCAGTCCCCATCTAGATTGGTTCTAAATGTTTGCAGCAAGTTCTGGTTTCTTTGCTTTGGCCTGGAGAAAGCCACTGCTGCAGAGCCTAGAGGTGAAACCTCAGTGAGAACATAGCACTGGCAGGGCTGACAGAGCTGAAGTGGTAGTGACAGCCCTGCACCCATGGTGGGCAGCCCTGGTGAGCCAATGTTAAGGCTGCACACATGGAAAACAGCCCACCTGGTTCATGGGAGACCTGACTGAGCCACCCCATGTAGGCTGGGAATACCCAGCCTGCTCTGATTTGCTTTGGTGCTGATGCTGACAGATGCTGGGCAGCTAAACCAAGGGCCTGGGGACACTCCTGCCCCCTCTGAGGACATAGTCTGCCTCTGACACCTTTTTCCTGGCACACGTGGAGATATGGATGTAGGACCAGCCTCACATTCTCCCTGGGAGTGTGATGGAGATCAGACAATGGGCCTTTGGAGTACTCAAGCTCTTAGAGCTACTCCAGGCCTGCGAACCCAAAGCAGGCAAAGGATGAAAGACACTGACCATCGCATAAATACCTCCGTTTATAAAATCTCAATCTAAGAAAATAGAAACTCTTAAGTTGCTGAGGAAACAGTGCACTGTTCCTTGCACGGCTGAGCCAGGCCAGGGGCTGCACTTGCTCCGCTCAAAGCCTTCCGCTCCACCTGGGCACAGTACTTCTCAGGGATGCCAGAGGCTCTACAAGGGGAAGAGAAATCATCAGGCACCCTGTGCTACACCAGGGCTGGGGCTTCAGGACCATGGCCCTGGAGCAGATCCTGTTTGAAGAGGATGTGAAGGAACCTCCCGCCTCCTGGGAGGTAGTCCAAAGGTTAGGAGATAGAGAGGTAGGCCAGGAAAGAATTATTGTGATGCTGGAAAGCGGAGTCCAGCGAAGCCAGTGGCCACCGACGACACCTTACCTCAGCTCCTGCATCTTCTGTCGCTTGAGCTCAGTGAGGCGCTCACTGCGCTGACGGGCCTCTTCCTGCAGCCGCCGGCCCTCCTCGAAGGCAGCGACCCGCTCCTGCACCAGCTTCTGCTGATGCTCCCGCATCTGGCGCCGGACTTCATTAGCATGGGCAAGCTGCACGGCTGCCCTCTGCGCCTCCTCTGCCTTCTCCTTCTCAATCTGCTCCCGCTGGGCTCTGCAGCAGACCTCAGGGCAGATGAAAAGCCCCCCCTCCAGCCCCTGCTTGGGTGCAAGCCCTTCCACCCGATAGCCTGCTTGCTGGGCCTTGGCCAGTGCCAGAGCTACAAGGACTGTGCTGACTTTTGTCACTAGGAGCCCACGCAGTGCCCCCCCAGCAGACCTCGTGCTGCTGGGAGCCCACACAGCACCCACCCCTTAGCCCTGCTCTGCAAGGCAAGGACTGGTAATCCCACTAGTGAGCTCTGACCACCATCCATCTTACCTGAGGATCCTCTCAAAATCGTCACGGTCCTGTTGCACCTGCACAGCCAGGCTGTGCTCCCGTGCAGCAATCTGCTCCAGGCGGCTCTGCTTCAGCATGTCGTCCGTCTCTGCCTTCTTCTGGGCTGCCTCCTTCTCCTTCCGACGCCACTCTCGCTCGGCAGCCTCTTGGCTGCGCTTGGCCCTCAGTGCGTCCTGCCGGGGGTGGGGGATAGCGGTGATGCTGGAGGGCCCATGGTACCACACTAGTCAACATCAGAGCTGAGACAAATGGGTGGGCAAGTTTGGGAGGAAAGTATGGAAGAACCCAGCCATGGTTTTGTCTCTCTTCCAAAGCCACAGAGACAGCACTGTTCCCACTCACAGAATCACAGAATGGTTGAGGTTGGAAGGGACCTCTGGAGATCATCTAGTCCAACCCCCCTGCTCAAGCAGGGAACCTCTCAGGAAGGTAAGCGGGGATCTCCTAGCAAACAGTGGAGCACATCTGGGGAAAGAAACCCCCCATTGACACCAGAGGACGTGATGGGGCAGGAATATAGCTCCCCAAACGCAGCTTTTTCATGTTGGGGGACATGAAGGGATCCTACTGCCCTTCCCCAGGGTTGGGAATGCAGCATGACACTATTTCCCACTGATCTAAGGGGTGGTGGCACTGGTTTAACAAGCTCTTGTATATTTTTCATGAAGTTTCCCTGAACTTCAAATCTCTCATAGAGGCACAGGTGAGGTGAAGAGCTCTTTGGCCCTGGCTGCTCCATCCTGCCTCCAGCCCAGGGGCCTTCACAGCTAGCGCCCAGCTCCAAAACAGCACCTGGGTCTGTGCTGGCCTGGACTTGCAACACCCCAAGTATACCCACCATGTCCAGGGGAGCTTCCACTTTGCTGAGGTGGGGATGAGGGAGGTGGTGAGAGAAGCTAGGCCTGCACAGGAGCAAAGCACATGTTACCAAGCCGCTCACCTTCTCTGCCTGGTGGTCCTGGGCTCTTTCTTGCAAGGCCCTCAAGCGCGCTGTCTCCTTCTCCTTCTCCCGACGGATTCTCTCCTGTTCAGCTTCAAACTCAGCTTCCCGTGCCTACGTGGGACAGAACCTTGTGACAACTCCCTGCAGCACCTTGCTGCCTGCTGGCTCTATGCAAGCACCAGCACATGTGCACACACTCAGTCTTATACCCAGCATTCATACACACGTACACAGCGTTCACACACAGTACTGCATGCAGACAGGTGCCGAGAGTATGTACTTTACACCAGAGCACATACGGACCACACTGGCCAGCTCATACAGGTTCAGAAATACTGAGGTCCTTGTAGAGGACCTGGGGTGGGGGGCAGGATGGGATGGAACAAAACTGGAAAGCAGATCAGTCTGCTTTGCTTGAAGCACAGAAGATTTCAAAGCTGCTGTCTCTGCAGTGCCATCTTCACTCTGCCCCTCCTAGTACCATTTTCTGTTTCTGATATTCGAGCACCCGCTGGTCTGCCATCTTCTCCTGCTGA